AAGCACACATTACAACAGTCTTTTCCATGACTACACACAGAACTCCTGCCTAAATGTCCTGGAAATAACCAGTACAGTGTTCCTATAAGCACGCGTCTCACATTTTATACTTGGACTCACTTTCTCAATCTATTTTTCCTCCTCTTCTCCCCTCACCCTCTAGTAATAGATTCTATAGATTCTAGATTCCCTGTTAGTATACTGGCTGCCATTTTGTCTAGGGAAAATGCCACACAGAAGTTTGTTTGCACCACTGGTTGGCTGCACCATTCTCTCTACAGTTCTCATGAACTGCTGCTGAGGTCAGGACCAAAAGAACCAAGCACCCCTGAGGTAATTGTTCAGTGGACAAGAACTGGTAGAAGAGAACTACAAATACTTCCCTTTTAAACAGTACCAAGGTCTGGGTTCTAGAATGCTATCCAGGAATCTGTTCCTTTACAGCACAGGTCAGAAAAAAAAAACAAAAACCCGTAGAGAACATCACAATCTCTCATCAACATTATTTATTTAACAGCATCTACCTGATACATCTGTTAGGAAGAGAACAGGAATAGACAGCAAACCTTGCAAAAGATATATATTTAAGAAAAAGTTTCAGTGACATCTCTCCTATGGCAGCTTCCCCAGCCAAGATAGATAAAATGATGCAAGCAGTTCTATGTTAAAGAACAAGATCCAGGAGCAACCTACCCAGAAATAGCAGGGAAAGGAAAAGACTTTGGGGTTTTTATGATTTTTTTTGTTTTTAAAAAAATATTTTCAGAACAAATTTGTGCGTTTCAATACATGCACTGCCCTCAGCAGGTTTGTTGAACCAAAGAAATGTAAGGTAACATTGCAAGGGTGACCGTGTGCTAATAAGGTTGCCCAGAGAGGTTGTGGAATCTCTACCCATGGAGATGCTTAATGCTCAAATGGTTCTGAGATTCACGAGATCTGAGTGGCCCTACTTGCACAAGGGATTTAGACTAGATGGTAACCAATCTTCCAATCTTGACCACACTGACAAATGGCACCTGACGTGGAAGTACAGAACTGAATTACTCCATGAGGAAAAAAATTGCACTCACTGACATTCATTGATGCTTGCTGAACATCTGTGGAGACCAAACAGTGAATGGATATGAGCATAATGAGATGGTGGGTGGTGTGTTTCAGCTGTGGCAACAGCAAGTCACCTCCTCTGGTGCAGATTTTTACAAGTGCAGCACACAGGCTCTTCTTCATCACTGGTAAAAATGCATGACTAATGGCAGTGACTATGTTGAAAAATAGAGCAAATTCTCAGCTACAAAATACTATGAAGTAGTACTCTTTGTACCTGCTGTGGTTTCCACATGAATACATAGAAGGCATTACTTTTGGAGCAAGCTCCATGCATATGCAGTGTGCGTATGGATACACATGTATATAAAAATACACATTGTGTTTGTACATTTATAATGTTAAAGTAATACTATATATATATTTATTACACACCCCCACTGTGTTACAAACAGTAGCAGCCTTAGGCTCAACGGCTTAGTTTTACACAAGCAAATTTAAGGTAAACAACAGAGTCTAAAGTGAGCTAACGGATGTCTGTATACATAGTACATTTTTATTAAGAAAATCATATTAACCACGTGCAGATGGATCTATGCTCCCCTTTGGTCATTCAAACCCTGCTTCTCTTAACAGAGGGAAGGAAGCAGTAGAAACCCTCCTGTCTGTACGCAGTACTCACTGGCCCAAAGCCCAGAGGAGATGCTTAATGAAACACTGCTCCACAGCTTCCATGCAAGGTGATGTCTACCTAAGTGGTTGCAGTTTACACCCAAGTGCCCACGTAGAAACAAAATGCATCCAGAGGCCGACAGGAATTACTGCTCCTGTCAGAGCAGTAGGGGGGGGGGACCAGGCTGCTACAGCAAACTCTGGTCTAAGCACAGCCTGTGAGGTAATGTGAATTCCTTGGAAACCACAGGAATCCAGCACAGAAAAGGTAAATATCCCAGTGGAGCCAGTGCTAATTAGGAAGCCAGGCTACCGAAGGAGGGGTTCTGTCATGGGCTGGTGGGAGCTCAGGCAGCAGGAAGGCTGCTCGTGGCAGCACTGGGAAGCCCAGATGCCACTCTGTCTCAAGTCACCCTGGAAGGTTTCCCCCCCAGCTGCTGCTCCTTGGGGGCCTTTGCAAGAAGTCTTGGTTTTCAGCTCAGTGTTGCTTTTTTTTTATTCATTTCCCAATCTATTTTTAAATTTCAGTGTAAATGCAACTAACACATTCCCACTGGATTAATGCCCTTCAAGCCACTTAGGCTCTGAACTGTGGCTACCCAAATCTTGCAGCTTAGGTAAGAAAGAGGCTATGGAGAAGCATCCCGAAAACAGACACATTTCCCTATGAACTACCACCATGTGTCAAGGCCCATTCTCCTGGCAGGCACCAAGCAAGACAGGACTTCTTTCTTTCCATCTCATATTGAGATACCTAGGAAGAGGGGAAAATCACATGGGAGACTGAGAAGCATCCCACTCCCAGTTGGTAACACGGGCAGGGAGCAGCCTGTACTGTTGGAGGGAGCACTCCCCATGTCCTCTTCACGTGGACTTCAAGCACAATAGGCTTGCTATTCTTTGAAGTATGCCCCTCCAAAAAACCACACAATCCACCAATTCAACAGCTGCCACAAGAACAGCCTTGGGGCTTCCACCTGCTAGTGCCCACATAACTATTCATTGGGTACGGTGAGTCACCTTTAAAAGCATTTTCTGAGGTCAGCCTCTAATGAAAACTCTGGTTTATTAACACTTCACTTCCTATGCATACTAGGATTTAAAAGGTACGGCAATAAATATATTTTATCACATATTTTAAGAAGTCAGACAAAACAAGCTAGGTTTTAACAAAAGATCAGATGATTGAGTTATACACTTGGTCAAACCTGGACTAAGCTTATCAACAGCATTGCTCTTTCTAGAACATATGCTTCAGCTGGTCAACTCAAATCTATAGCTTCAATGCAATGCAGAGTTCTCCAGGCTGCCAAACACAGATGATCAATTTAGATGATGGCAAGACCAGAAAGGTTACATTGTGATGACAATCTGAAACACAGAACCCATTCATGCTACCTTTCTTAAGTCTCCAGAAGTCTGATATCTGATGATTATCTAAGATTATGTAGTAAGTACTGTTTATTCTGTGGGGGAGAAAGTAGGCAAGTTGCTACAAAAGGAAGCTGACATGGGCATTGGCAATATGCTTCCGGAAGATAAAGGACAAGAAGTTCTAAAGTCAACATATGCCAAAAAAATTGCCTTGAAAAGGAGAACTTAAACCACAGCAAATCAGCTGTTATTCAGTATTTCAAGTACAAACCAACCAGCAAGACTTGAAAGCTTTGCTGTATATCTCTGGGTATACAGCCTTCATATCTCCTTCAAAGGAAATTTTCTCCTCACTCTTTCACAGTCATCCAGGCTGGATCCATAACCCCCTTTCTTCTTCTTGGCATTGAGGCTTCACGTTCCTGTCTAGATCACAACTTGGCAAGTCTAGCAATGCCAAGAGAAGCTAAGCCTAGGGAAGTATCTAGTTATTACAAATAACAAACATACAATATCAAATCTGTCCCTCTGCAAGAAGATCATGCATCTTATGATTCTGATAGCACTTCTTTTCTAGTAGAGATAGTAGTCAGTACTTCAGTTCCTGAAGTAGTCAGGTTCCTCTCGCATTAGAAATACACAAAGCCTAAGACTGGAGGAACATATTACCTCTCAGACAAGCTAGAAGGAAATGGGGGGAAAAAAGAGCATTTCAGAAGAGCAACCCAGAAAATGCCACTCCAGCTACACTTTAAAGACTACCTATGCTTTCAGAAAGCAGAGACCATAGTTCACTGTTGCACGTCCTTAAAACAGATTGCTTTGTTCTGTTGGTGGATTGCCCCTCAGATTCCTTTAATGCTGCCTTTTATACCAGGCCATTACCTCCCTGTTCTCTGCTACATATTGCTCTCTCAAGCACTGGTTTTGTTTTTGTTTTTGGGGGTTTTTTTGGTTTTTTTTTTTCTGAGTAAGAAGTAGCAACTAGGTTCCTCTCCCAAAGGTTAAAGCATTTCCAACCCCACCTCACAGAATTTTTGTCCCAGCTTTACACCAAAGCATTACACCACATGAGGCAATAAAGGGGTCTCTCCCAGCACTTAACACCACAGTGTTAAATGGTAGGGCAACAGGAAGCCAAAATCCAGTAGTACAGAGATCCTCACCTCCCACCAAGAATCTGAATTTGGAAATCCAGAGGATGGGAAAAATCCAAATCACTAAAACTGAAGACCACTAGTGCCATCTGCAGGACATACAGAGCATCCCAAGTTTCCTTTTGGGATGAAATAGAATAAGGCATTTTTGGCAGATAAGCCTCTCTCAGAATCTTAGTTATCTTTCTTAAATTCAAAAGAAAGTTGACATCTACCAGGGAAAGGACAGTAAATTAATTAACATATTTGATAGTGTAGAAAATACAAATGCTGATGCAAAATTTAAAATACAATTTGAAGGTATTAAGACTGCAAAGATCAACAGGTCTCTAAATGTTTGTTAATTTATCATTATACAGAAACTAAAAAGGTTTCTCTTCACCTTGTATGCTCCTGTACCAAGAGAATGAAGAAAGGGCATGAAGAATACAAAATGGATTCAAGAAGAATCTAATCTTTAGAATCAACACTTCAATAATGGTGTGTGGCTACTCCACTATCTAAAGTTGAAAACCAACTTTATTACTTCCTCATGTAATAAAATCCCTCACTAAAGACCCTCTAATCTATATAAAGAAAGCTCACTAGACAAAGTGCAATGAAATATAGTCTACTTCAAAAATTTTTGCAGAATGCCAGAAGTAGCACTTCCCTCTCTTATTCGCTCAGAATTACAGAAGGAAGCCAACATGTTTGTTGATCACAGAGTGCACGTACACTGAGGAAATAAAAAAAAAAAACCTCCCCTACCTGGCCAATCCTTCCTCATAGAGATAGATGACAAGTGGATCATAGGATGTAACCAGAACATACAGGCGCACATCAAATTTGAAATCTGAAATGAAGTTGCCAGAAATCAGTGACTGCAAATACCTTTCATATATCATAGCCAGTTGAGAAAATGCAACAGACCCTAAGAGCAATGGGAGGAATAAACCATTACCTGCTGCTGACATATGATGCTTGAAGCCTAACTGAAAAGCTTCCCAATTTCAAGGAATTTTCCTTTTTTATGCCTCCTGGTACTAGCGTAAGATAGACGACTCAATCAACTAAATTCCTGCAAAGGTTGCAGAGCTCTTCAGTTCCTAGAAACAGGAGTGCATGAAAGCAAGAGCAATTCCAAAGCATACTCACCATCTATGAGCAGGGGGTTGCTGATGTAACGAGAAACCAGGATGTTGTCTTCCAGTACAATCTGATTTGGCTACAAAAGGACAGAGAATTCAAGAGTGAGAAAACCAGGAGGCTCAACGAGTAATAAGACCACAAGATCAAACCTATCATTTTTCCAGCTTTCACCTCCTAAAACCTCTTTGTATCAAGCATTATGTCAGAGGGTGGGGGTAATAAGACCATAAACACCTCCCCTCACAACACAACAATGAAAAACTAACAGTCAGTCACAAAACACTTTTGTAATGAGATCCTAACAAGAAGCCTGAGAATGATTACATTAAGAAGACCACCAAATCTTCCAGTGAAATACTTCTTAGAGTAAACTGCAGGTTTAACAGCCCCATGGCAAAACAAAATAGGCAACAGAAGTAAGAAATGGCTGTTGTTGTCTGTTTTCTAAGCACTTCACCAGACACAGAGGAGGGATCTACTTAGAAGGCACTGGAAAGAATATGTTATGACTGCTAGTGAAAGTGTCACAGGTGAAATGACTCCTCAGGTTGCGATCTTTATGGCTAGTATCCAACCCTTTTGACTACATGAATAGATAGCTTCTACTGAGGGTCAGTTCACAGCCGGGACACAGTATGACAGAGAAGCCACCCTTGTAGGTAAGAACAGAAAGCTCTACGTACAATAAAAATACATCACAAAGTCATGGGACCTGTCGAAAGACTTACACAAAGCAAGGAGTAAAAGCTTTATCTCCTTGTAACCTGTTATACTTACTCATGGTAACAATTTCTTACAAAACAGTTTCCCAGAGAGAACCCCATCACCCTGGCTTTATTCAGTTTTACAGGTATTCAGCTTTATCAGTGTATGGAGTAGGAAACTTAGGTATATATATGCATTCCATATAATACAAAGGAACAAACTCAAATTCCCTCAGCACATCACAAAAAATGACAGTATGTTTGCTATGGACCAGAGAAACTGAGAGTTTAGTTTGTTTCAAAAAACAAGCCACTGTGATAAGAGTCTAGAAGACACTCCCTTAATGGAATCACAATGAAGGAAAATGAAGCCTTTGGGCTAGGCTAGCTGAAATGTTTCTGGAACAGATTTACACAAAGGGAGACTGGTCCCAGAAGGGTCTTTTTCCCAACTCATGGCCAACTGCCATAAAAGCCTGAGCTCATTTTTCTCTTTCAAGCAAAGAAAAAATCTGAGTGCAGCTCTGGAAATACTTACTTCATACACTTGGCAAATTATTCCTTTATGTTATGGGAAGGGATCCAGGTAGAGAACAAATGAAGCAGCATGACCCCTTCCATGCAGGGGAGGCTAAGTGAGTGAAAACAAAATAACTCACCAGTCAGTTTTGCTGCTGAGAATATTTATTGGAATATCCTCGTGTATTTTGGCTCCTATCCAGATATATTTGTTACCTATGACAACCTAACCCCTGCAAAGTCCCAAAAAGGCAACATAACACTATGATCAACATACCAAATTCAAAGAATAAGCCTCTTTACACCTCAGTTAAGGCACACTGGCATTCAGGTAACAAAACTCTTAAGACTGATACACATCCTACTGAGTCACATATGGCTTCATTTTAGCTGGTCTTTTCCAGAGTTAAGAAGAGGATGCTTTTTGAGGACTGTTTAGGTTGCAAAGGGCAAATAACCAAAGAGAGTTCTGGGAATCTTCCTAAAGTCAGCCTACTGTCAGACACAAAAGAAAGTATGAAGCAGCACAGTTTCCCATAACTGTCTCAGGAAATACGAACTCACTGCTAGTAAGCCAAGACTCGAAAGCACCATACAGGCTGCAAGGTAAGTGCAGAGTACAAAGAAATAGCTTGCTTTTGATTACACAAAGGCCAGGACAAGCTATGCCAGCGGCTCTGGACTGTTAAACTGCACATCAATGCACTGTTGAAATCCAGAGCATGGCCATTGTCTGCTTAGCTGTTTCCATGCCTCTCACATGGAAGCTGACACAGTTTTGTAGACAGTGTTACTGAAAAGTGATGGTGATGCACTGGAATGCGTTGCCCAAGGAGGCTGTGGATGCCCCATCCCTGGAGGCATTCAAGGCCAGGCTGGCTGTGGCTCTGGGCAGCCTGGTTTAGTGATTGGCGACACTGCCCACAGCAGGGGGGTTGAAACTAGATGATCTTTGAGGTCCTTTCCAACCCAAGTCATGAAAAGTAATCCTTTTGATAAGTACTTACATTGTTTATCAGGTAGACACCTCGACCCCTGGAAGAGGCCACAGGCTTCACTATCCATGGGCCTTTGTCCTTAGAATAGGTACCTGGTTAGAAGAAAACAGCATAAGTCTGAAACACCTTCTGCATTTTGCTTATTTACAGAGGAGTAAGAATGTTGCCTTCATATAAGACTTCAAAACTCTAGGAGCAGATCAATCTACTTTATTTTTACTCCTTAGGAATCACTACAATTATTACTGACACGCTTTTCTCTGCCCTGTAACTCATTTGTCATTGCTCTTCTTTACTCCCAGACACTAGTCAGAGATGCTATGAAGCTGATCATCAACACTGTGAACAAAGAAAACTCAATTCTGGGTGAACAAAGAAAACTCAATTCTGGAGCCACAACCCTCAACCAGCTTCTTGAGAACATACACAAGCAGGAATAGGCAGCAGAGTAAAAGCAATACAAAGAAATCATGTGAGTTTTTCAACTGTCTTTCCGGTCTCATCAACCACTGCAGTGATCAACAAACTAGAATACTCGCAAGTAATACCTCTCCCTCTAGCAGTCACTTTGCTTTAGGGCTGGGTATCATTAGCAACTCTCAACTTACTGCAGAACTCCTGGTACTCTGCTGGGAGGATAAAGGTCTGAGGTAAGATATGGAACGTCTTGAATCCATGGGACAGCTGCATACGACTGACATTCTTGTAAAGCCTGTCCTTTCGTGTCAGCTCATATGACCTGAAGATCCAGAACAAGAAACTTGTTATTTTTTCCCCAGAATAAAAAAAAATAACAAAACAAGAAACAAATAAAAAAAAAACCCAGACACAATGCAACAGCCTATTACTAAAGCATCTGCATTCCTCTCATAGGCCTCCAACTTAAATTACAGCTACTCTTCTGCTTTTCTTTCTCTATTCTATGGATGCATTAATAACCATTCTCATCTGCAGTGCCTTTAGCTATGCTCAAGAGGGACTGAAGCAAATAGTTACAATGGTGCTTGTAAACTTGTTTGTAAATCAGCGGCGTATAACCACAACTAAGAACTCCAAGCTCCCAAACAGTTTACTTTTCTCCTCAAGTAGAGAGGACTGGGGAATAAATCAATATTTGGGCTATGGACATGCACTTAAAACTCACATATCTCATTCAGATTCCCAGAATGAAAACAGCATGTGGCACAAATCCAGCTGGGACTTTAAAATATGACAAATATCTTTTTCTTAAATAAATAAATAAATAAATAAATAAATAAAATAAAATAAAAAAATAAAAATAAAAAAATAAAAAAATAAAAAATAAAAAAAAAGCTATGCTCACATTACTACAAACCATGACAAAGACATACAACAAAACTTGTTATCAAGACCTTACCTGGGAAAATGATTCACTTTCTGAATATCTGTAAGGGAACGCAGCAGGTAGGGCTTCAAGTGTGATCCTGTCCACATGAGATTATAATCACTGCTATTAGGGTGCACCTAAAAAAGGGCAACACAAGAGACCCACGCATAAAAACCATGGAAATAGTGAGAAGCACCACTGTTTGTCCTACAGACTGTGTCCCTGCATCTGTGGGACCAGAGCAATTCCAATTTAAGACAATTTCCTCTACCCACCTGTAATATTGGTTATTAGCCAGATTCTTGTCCTAAGCTACTATACAGTGATGCTAGAAAATAAACATACTGTTTTGTTGGGGGTTTTTTGTTTGTTTGTTTTGTTTTGTTTTAAAACAGGATTGTGATTCTGTTCTTTTTATAGACCATCTAAATCCAATTTAAAAAGCACTTTAGATTTCTCCAGGAAACTTGGGAGATCAGATTTCTCAACTTTGCTTTATTCAGTAGAAAAACGACCATCCAAACGCTTCTCTCAATTGTCATAAGCTGCAGACAGGACATTCTTTAAAGCAAGGCAGGTGCTAGGAGACAAATATAAAACACTACAAGAACACTTGTTAGCTTGGTAAAGGCTGAGAAGCAAAACTCTTCGGATCTTCCTAAAGGTACGAGGCAGTGCTCTAAAGCAAGAAGAGAAACACACAACGCACAACCTTGATATCCCTTTTCTCCCTAATTTTGCAGGCTTCACAACATATTTCCTCTCTGACTGACAGAGCACAAAGGGCAGTGGTAGAAAAGGGGAAAAAAAAAAACCAAAACACATCACTGAGAGGCTTCCCAAGAATCTTCCTTGTTATAACTTGACATAGAAACAAACATATATTCACCCAGGTTCCAGCCCAGCACTCACCTCATGGAATCCATGTGCAGTCAGTATGCTTCGCACGAGGCGGCTGTCCGTTCGCACAATCTTATAGGACAAGTGATAACGCTCTTAACAGGGAAAAAGACACAATATTAGAGTCTGCACCTAGAAAAAATTAACTGAAGTTACCAACACTGCCAAAAAATAAAGAGCACCATAGGGCTTAGTACAGCTGCACTTAATCTACAATGAAGCATCCACACAGTAGATGCACGTAGCAGGCAAAGAGTGAGGGGGAAATGCCTGTGTATCTCCTGAGGCATGAAGTCTATGGCACTGACACCTGTCCTCAGGTATAACAGTGCTGTGTCACTGAACCCCATCGTACCAAAATGAAAACCATGCTAACAAGTGCACAGATCTGAGTTTTGGGGTGACGGATTTTTTTGCTGTTGTGTTTTTTTCTTTTTCTTTTCTTTTTTTAAACAGCTCTTCACAGACTGCCTTATAACACTCCAAAGAATGATCTCTTCTCAACTGAAGACTGGTATCCCCTGCCAAAAGCACTCATGCTATCTACCCCTCATTGATGTGGCTAGCTTTTAAGATCTAAGAAATGGCCAAATGAGACCAAAACAAAACACTACGAATTTTTGTTCATGTATCGTTAAACTGTGTTCATCTTCCCATACATAACTGGGGAAAAATAGTAAGAAATAAATAAGGTGATAGGTGAAAAAAAAGAATATTCTATATAGAATTCTACATAGAATAGAAATTAAATAGAAAAAAAATCATAAAATCAAACTCAGTAAGCAGCATTGGAGCATAAGATACACTAAAAGCTGTAGTACAAAAGGATTTGTTAATCCATAAATGAGTGCAAAGAAAATAGAGGCAGAAATCACAGAACTAGAACAGAATCACTTTTTCAAGTGATTCTTTTTCAAGGTACTTTACAAATGACTTCAAACCAGGAACAGAAAGATGAACGTTAGATAAAGCCTCAGTAAACAAGTTCTACCAACAAAGATAAGTCTAAAGAAAAGAGTAGAAATATCATCCAGGACTGCACAGAGCTCTAAAGGAAATATAAGTTGTGCTATTCCATAGCAAACTTGTTCAATTAAAAAAAAAAATTAAATACATAAAGACCCACAGCCTGAGGAAAAGCAGGAGGATACCAGACTCCAATTAGAATATAAGGTACAATCACCTTCAGCTTCTGCCATCAGCAAGCATGTCTGTAACTCACATCAAAAAGATCAGGAGTTTCTACACACAAGTCACCTCCACCCCTTACCCAAAGGAGTCAGGAGCACTTCTAGTTGGCTAGGACATTAGAAATGAGTTTAGCAATTATCAAAGAAAGGGAGAAGCAAGAGACTACAAGGTGTCAGCATCAAAAAACCTGGGAGCATTTTCAGCTTTTCCCTAACTCAGCACATCTAGAATGAGTTCCCAGCTGCACACACCCGCCAGTACTAACTCTCGCAATCTGGAGCGACTCCTTATAATAACTTTGCCTTATATAGAAGCTCTTCCTTATTTGACACTGGACAGGTTTGGTCTCCTGATGGCAGAGCTGCTACAACAGCAATCATAGACTTACAGCCTTACTCAAACTTGCCAGGCTCTGAGGCACAGACTTGCTATTAAAGCTTACTACTGTTATTGTCACAGTAGGCGGTAATTAGGGAGGAAGGAGACTCCATTTCCTGATGAAACTCTTATAAAACTCACTGGAAGAATTGATTTTAAGTTCTCAGCAATCAACCAGTCAGTTTATCTTATGGTCATAAGTGGCACAACCTTCAAATATGATCTGCAACCAGACAGTTCCAACTCAAACTCATCAGAAGGGCAAAAACAGGCACAATCTAAATATACAATAAACATTCACTGACCGGCCAAGCATTTCTGAATGTCTCAGTGCTCAGACACAATAAGATTAGACGTTTCTCTCCAGCATGCCCTCTTCCCCACAAAGAGAGGGAACATCCAGGTAAGAGATTTCCTGCTTCACACCTTCAGGCCAAAAGCCATTAAATTGCCTCACCCACCTCCAATTAGGCGGAGGTAGCTGTCGTTTGTCAGAATGGCATCAGCATGAAACACAAAGATGGGGATCCGCCTGCAGCCGCCACCGGTCCACCTGATGCACGGATGATCCCTAAAACAGCAAGACAGTTAGCACTAGCAGATGCTGAACCTCACACGCACACAATGGTTACCACGATGATGCAGCATTCTCCATACTTGCCCACGCTTGCCCAGCTAGCCCCCGGGCAGGACACGCAGACAAACACACGCTGAGCACTCTGGTGTACTCAACTATGAAATGAATCTTCTAAATCACCCTCTTTGTAGGTAGCTCTTGCCATTTTAAATGGGAATTTTGCTTCATTTATATTGATTTTATTGAGTGTGATTTGGAAGAAACTTCACAGATTTTCACAGCAACACGTTCTCTTGAATTAAAGCCTGAGAACAAGATCTATAGTTCAGGATAGACTACAATTACTGATATCCACGCAGTCAAACCTTACAATGCCAATTCCAGTCTCCAATTTAAAAAAAAAAACATGCAAACCTGAGCATACTTCCTGCTTGTAACCAGAGACTCTGAGAGGAGCAAAAGGGCAATCGTATTGAATTCAACAGACTGGAAGAGATTTGGCTCCACACAATCCATGAATTTGTCTGTCCCTCCTTTTTAAATTTCTGTCAAATGCAGTGAAAAGCAAGCCCAGAATTTGACAACGATGCCCACAGCCAAGTCAGCTACAGGTTGCAACACAGTGATCTGTTCTGCCCAAAACATCAAGTCTATGTTGGAAACTATAATGTCCTCATGAAGGACATGCACACTGAAAATTAGAAGTAATTATACAAAAGTCTAATGTGACAGAAAGCAAACAAAGCTTCATGTTACTCCCTGCTCATAGAAACAGAACCATGAAAAAGTTAACAGGAAGCAGAAACAGAGGGGCTGGGAAGATACCTATGCTATCTACACAGATAAAAAGAAACTGAAAGACTGGCATGATGCTAGACAGATGTATTTGGCATTTGAACATGCAAGATTATCATCACCAAAGGTCTGGGGACACTACAGAAGACAAAACACATCCTTCACTTACAATACAGGAACAGAGATAAAGGACAACTTTCTGATGCTGTGACAAAATAAGCCTTCTTCAGAGTAACCTTGATCCTCTTTACCAAGTCGCCCCCTGACAAACCAAGTTTACAACCCCACCACCTGTTCTGCTACCTTCAGAAATAACCGAAGGAGTGCAGTTAGCTACTCTGACTGGAAAGGACCCAGGAGGATTCCAGAATTTACACTGCAGGACAGAGCCTTATGTAAGTGGGAAATGAGCTGAGGCAACAGAAGGGGACTTTACATTAAGCCTGCCCTGAGGATTTGCAGTAAGGCTACCAAGGCACAGGCAATCCTCCAGGTGACAGTCATTCATTCCTAGCGTGACACTTGGTCACTTAATGCAGACACATTCTAGTCAAAGGCAGTTGCTGAGCTATTCATCCATAAGAATCTGGCAATTCCAAGCCAACTTTTTAGTACAAAGTGATGCCCTCTCTACAAGGGCATTAAGGCACTGCTGTTTGCAGCTAGACACTGGGTCACAATATGTAACGAGAAGAAAACAAATAAGACATAATAAAGTAGGTGCAGCTGAAGCAGAAATGGGATTTCGCTTTGAGAAAGAGAGCAATTCCTTCCCAAGCAAAAATAAAAACAGACATACATTAGACACAAATAGGGGCCCCAAAAGCTAAGCAAAAATATTAGAGCTCTCACAAGACTGCTTTCAAAAAATGGCACATAACATTGTGTTTCAGTCCACTACAAAGTACATTTCCCTTCTCTAAAGGGAATTAAAACTAAACAAACGAAGAAGGGCATGAATTTCCATTCATTCTATCATCAAAGAATTTCCCAGCTCAGGAGCATGACAGAAAGAGATCAAAAAAACCAGAATGTTTACAGCAGCCCAGCTGCACGCCCAGCTCTGAAGAACGTGGTGCTTTCAGGCTCTAAATGTATGTTTGCCTGCCCACAGCTTGCAGACACGACCAGAATCAAGCTCCTCCACAGGTAAGACCAGGGGAAGGAACACAGCAAGAGATAAGAGAGAGTTTGTTCTCCACTTACTGCAGCCCGTCTCCAGCATCTTCCTCCTCTTCCTCCTCTTCCGAGGACGAGCCGCTTTCCTCCAGACCCCGAGCCACACCCGCCGGCATCTCCTCCGGCCGCTCTCATGCAGCCGGCTCGGCGGCCTCAGAGATCCCTCCTACAGATCCTAGGGATCTGACAGCAGCTGTTACCTGCAACAGGAATTAGCGCCCTAAGCGCGCAACCGGGCCGAGCAGCAAAAGCCGGGGGCCGCACAGCTCCAGCCGGGCCGCACAGCTCCAGCCGGGCCGCACAGCTCCAGCCGGGCCGCACAGCCCGAGCGCTCCCAGCCCGCGCCCATCAGCCCCCCTTCTCCCCACAGCCTCGCCCCAGAGACGCGCCCCGCCCGCTCCGCGCCTTCCCCACGCTCCAACGGCCCTCCGGGCTGGAAGCAGCCCCCGGGCCGGCCACGCCCGACAGGGCGGTCGAGCCCCGGCCTGCCCCACAGCCTCAGAAGAGACGCCCTAAGAGCCGCCGCTCCGGCCCCGGCGCCGCGGGGCCAGCTTCCCGCGCGCCGTACCCGCTTCTTCATAGCCCCATCGGCGCAGCCCGATCCGGTGGCCACTCCCGCCGCTTCCCCGTTACTACAACAACCGGCGGCGGCCAGCCCCGCCCCGCCCTCACTGCGCGTGCGCCTCCGGCGCCGTCCCTCCCGCTCCAGTGCGCACGCGCGACGCTTCCGCCACCCCGACCGACAGGCAGCGTGGGGGTGGGACCGGGCCCCGCGTGAAGCGGCCTTCGATTGGCGGAGGTGGCCCTCGCGGCCGCGTGGCGCGCGCGTGGAGCGACACACCCGCAGCCAATGGGAGCGCAGGAGGGCGGCGCGGGTCGGAGCCCCGGTGCGGGAGCGCGGCGCGGGGCCGCGGCGGCGGCAGTGGCAGCGGCAGTGGCAGCAGGATGAGCCGCTTCCTGAACGTGTTGCGCAGCTGGCTCGTCATGGTGTCTGTTATCGCTGCCGGGAACACGCTGCAGAGCTTCCGCGACCACAGCTTCCTCTCGGAGAAGCTCTATACCGGCAGCCCCGGTCTCGGTAAGGGCTCGGCCTGCAGCCGGAGGGACGCCCTCCCCGTTGGCGAGAGCGCTCCTCACCGCGGTTTTTCCCTCCCTGTGCGCAGTGAACGGGCTGCAGGCGCGGACGTTCGGCATCTGGACGCTGCTGTCCTCGGTGATCCGCTGCCTGTGCGCCATCGACATCCGCAACCAAACGTACGTGGGCGGCGCCGGGCGCGGGCGGGGCAGCGCTGGGTGCCGCGCTCCGAGGGCCGCGTGTCGCCGGGCAGAGGCCGTGCGGGGCCGGAGGAGCCCGCCGCTGTCCCATAGGGGGTAGTGGAGCGACGGTGGGAAAATGTCCCGGGTGACGCGCCCTTAGTCAGCCCCGTCTTGTTGCCCCGTTCCTCGGCTCAGCCGGTTCTCACCCTGTTTGCTGTGCCCTCCTGCTTCCTATGCCACCAGCGCTCTGCCCCTTTGCTTGCCTCCAGGCAGATAACGCCAGTGACAGCACACCACTGAACATGCCACACTGTTTTCCCAGCCACTGCCCAGTGACCTTTAGTACCTCCCTGCACCAGGGACTGACTGCCCTCTGTGCTCCACAGAGAGGACGAGAACAGGCAGTGTGTGGCTTTGCTGCCTGTTGTCCTGGTGCTGTGAGTTTGCTAACCTGCTTCTTTCTGCTCCAACAGCCTCTACTACATCACACTCTTCACCTTCTTCATGGCCCTTGTTCACTTCCTCTCTGAAGTCTTCATTTACCACACTGCAGCCTTGACGATTGGAGTCATGGCACCCCTCATGGTAGCAAGTAAGCAGAGGCCCCCATCCTGCTGCCCACCCCCAACCTTTCTCGGAGTTCTCAGCTCCCTGAGAACTATCTGTGGGGCAAGGAGGAGGTGTTCATGTCCCATCTGTGCAGCCTTTTTTTTATACAACTCATGCTTTATCTCTATCACAGGTTTCTCTATCCTGGGGATGCTGATTGGGCTACAATACCTAGAGGTAGAAGCACTGTCAGAAAATAAGAAGAAAAACTGAGACTGAGCGCACTGTAAAGGTCAGCACTGTCTCCTCACTGCCAAACTTCCACTAAAGCTCTGAACTTCTCCAGGATGCCAGTCCTAGTGGCAGATTGATGTTGGACTCTGTCAATCATCCTTCACTACTGAGTGTTTTATCTTGTCCAGGCAACATTTCAGCTGACTGGTGTCAAAGATAAGCCCCCACAGGAGCCTGTCCAAGCTTGCAGGGAGTACTTGGTGACTGCCTCCCTGCAGGAGGGCAGGGAGTGCCTCAGGCATGCCTATGAAAATGCTAAGGCCTGCCCCTGCTGCACCCATGGGGAGGAGGTACAGAGCCACCTAGGGTTCACTGAACATTTTGGATAGGAAAGAGAAATGTGTGCTGCAGTAGTCCAACTGTGTAACTTGCATGTGTGTGTTCTGTGCAGGGGCCATTTCTAATAAATGACAGAAAACTGATAGATGCAATGTCTGTATTTGTGCTACTCAGCAGCAGGTAAATGCTCTTCAACTTTGGAACAAGTGGTTTTAGTTCTAGAGTTCTAGAGTTTAGTGCTCTCATCCTCACTGTGGAGCACAGAGGGCAGTCAGTCCCTGGTGCAGGGAGGTACTAAAGGTCACTGGGCAATGGGAAAACAAGGTGGCGTGTTCAGTGGTGTCCTGTCACATGTTGCAGTTCCCTTCATTGCAGGACATGTTACCCTGCTTTACAGCACCTCTATCATTCACCAAGTCCCTTCCACCAAAGCTCCAGGTCTGACTGAACATAGCATGCGCACCCAAAGAGAGTTGTTGCAGCTCTCACTGCTGCAGCATTCTAATGGCAACAAACTGCATACATCTGGAGCAAGGATTGAGCTTCCTTCACAACGAGCTGCAACTGTAACAATGAGCAAATGGGAACAAGTTGCTTAGAGCTAGCTAGATGAAAATCTAGAGCAGATGGGCAGTGTACAAAAGGTAGGAAGGAACCAGCAAGAGCTGCTAGGGGAGAAGCCTATCCCTGGGAGGAAGAAGGAGGAAAAATAAAAGGAAGAAAGAATGTAACAGTAGCAGTAGGCAAATAGATGATTTTTTCTATTCTGCATTTCAGGCTACTAAAAACAAAAAACAAAACAAAACAAAACAAAACAAACAAAAAAAAAAAACAGTTTCAACCCTATAATTCAAAAGTGTCATGTTTCATTGTGTACTTAAAATGTTTTTATTTCATATGAAAATTATATTTAAAAGCCAGTTTAGACCACATCCTCAATCCCAAACTATCAAAAAAAGGATTGTTTTTTAAAGTATATTTTCATCCAGTCTGCATTTGTGGTTTTCTTCCAGTAAGAAGTACGTAACTGTGTGATATTGGTATAAGTACACTTGATGTCTCCACCAAGGGATGGATGCTGGAAAGGAAGGTAAAGGGTTTTGAGGGTCTATGCTTGTGACTGGGAGATACCCACAGTTCTGTCTCATGCTGGTGTTTAGGAAGGCTTCTAGTACAAAGCAGAAGCCTCCATATTCATTCCCACTGTGCTAAAAACATCTCACCGTAACAGCGCAACATTGCCCTGACAGGTCATCTGATATTCCACAAAGGCTTTTGTGTAGTGTTAAAAGTTGCAAAAGGCACTTCATCAATAAGGAGGAAGATATGATCCCCAGCCTTGAGAGCCTGTGCTTTGAGTCGCTCCTGCTGCTAGCCCAGTGCTGATCTGGGCTCAGGCTGCAGCCACGACACTAACCCTTGCCTCTAGTAGGAGATCTATTGGTGTCTCTCATTTATTCCTACTATCCAGGAACATCAGAGCAATCCGAGTGAATTCTAGGTGGATCTTTATCTACAGCCACATATAAAAAAACTGGCACTGGCAGTTGCACTGCTTTGCACTGTTTGGCTGGTGTTGCCCCCTACCATCACCTGTGCAACATGGAGGATATCGCAGGAACTCAGCACAATCTCCCTTCCTGAGAGCCTGGTCACAGCTCTCCCAGGGCTGCTCACAGTCCAGCACTGGCATTCTGTGTCATTGCTTCCCTGGGAGAGGAGGCACAGACCACATGCATGGTGCCACCCTCACCTGCTCAGGACTCGCCTGAAACTGGGGCTTTTCTGCAAATGTGTGCTTTTCTTCCAAGCATACACGGGGTGAAGGGGAGCAGTGACTTTTCCCAACTTCTCACTCAGTGCAGTCTCCAGAACAACAAGGTGCGGAGGTACAACTGAAGGGAGCAACGCCCTTCTTGTTTCACACTGTCATGCTCTACAAGTAGTTCCCAGCTGCCCCTCTGCCAGAATTCACATGTAACAGGATGGTGGAGCTAGCGAGGGTGAGAAGGAGGGCAGGGTGGTGTCCTGCATCTCCAGCTCTGTCACCTCTCTTTTTCACAGCTTTGACTCCTCAAGGACTATGGGAACAGTGCAGGCTTCTGGCATCACTTTCTGCAAGTCAGAGAGAGAAAAAGAAAATGGTTAGGCTCTTGGGTGGCCACACTTGGGCTTCAAAGACTAGCAGAGGCTGGCTCATTCACAGCTCCCCACTTGTGTGCACAAATCACAGAACCACAGAACAGGTCGGCTTGGATGTGACTCTTAAAGATCATCTGCCATGGGCAGGGACACCTTTCACTAAAGCAAGTTGCTCAATGTCCCACCTGACCTGACTTAAAAAGAATCACCACTACCACACTGAGGGCTCAATCCAGGAGTGCACCTGGCTCACTCTTTCAGAACATTCCATGCCCAGACAAGGGACACTGCAGGCAGCAGAGCAGAGCAATGATCCCACTTCTCTGAAGCTGCTTGCAGGAGTCCTCAGATGATGTCACAGCAATACGAGATTGACCTCAAAGTGGTGAAGCTGCAGGGTCAGTTCTGTGGGCAAGGGAAGAAATGGGAACTCTTCCTTCACGCCATGGAGAAGGGCAGTATCTGTGGGAGCCCCAGAGAAGTTGCACCCTGCGCACTCTCTGTATCTTACAGCAGGAGGCTCAGCACAGCAACTAGCTCCAATTCTGACTTTTCTCTGGCATGTCTGAGGCTTCTTCATCTCCCAGGCTGCTTTTTCCCCCCCCCCCCCCCCCCCCCTAAATCCCCTGAAAGAATTAGCCTGATTACCTGAACTTTCCTACAATTTCTGCTCTTAAAACAGAAGCAGCTGTACAGTCATTTCACAGAGGAAAAGCAAGGGCAACACAGCTTGCTGCCAAATTAACACAACCTGGGGCTGCATAAAACAGCTGAACTTCTGCAATTCCAATTCAGCCTCCCTGGGTAGGGCCACATCAGCCCCTCTTGCTGCATCCTTGAAGGCTGAGTTATGATTAGACCTTACACTCCCAGGTCCCCCAGCAGGTTTCAGAAATCTCTTCAAGTTCTGGCTAGATACACTGAGACACCTCAACTGTCACTGATTTAGAAGACAGCATGCAGACCTGTAAGGGTAAACATGGGTCTTGTACGGCCTGGACTCTGAGTTAACTCACTGCAGCGCAAGACTGAGACCTGAGGCAGGAGTCAGAGGTGCACAAATAGGTTTGCATCCACAGTGCTGTTTGAGATAAGCCCAGGCAGCATGAAAGCAAGAGTTACAAAACAGTTTCACTCCAAGTAGCTTCTTACACAAACAGCAGCTGAAAAGGTTTTGGAGAGGTCAGCAGCAATATCCGAATGCAGAGTGAGACCAGAAGAGCTTCAAAGACATGCCTGGAGGCAAGAGCCAGGAAGCACACAAAAGGAAAAACTTCCCATCGGCAGGAGCAATTGCATGAAGCAGTGCTAAAGGTAGGAGAAACAGGAAAGCTGCATTTAGGCTTGAGAAAAGCCGTGAGTCATAGAAGCATGCTGGCAGCTCTGAACAGGCTCCCCAAGCACCTCTGGGAACTCAACACTTCCGTGCTATGGAGATACAGGGGTGATGGTTTAGGCCAGGACACTGGGCTCCATGCCTTGGGACAGGAAGGCTGCTCCCACAGGTGGGAGACACAGTATTAGAAAAGGACATGCAGGTGGCTGCCCATGGCTTTGCAAGAAGGCTACTTGCCATACAGTAAACACAGAGAAGTTGCAGGGAAGTCGAAGAAACAGGAGAGGGCGCACACACTGTGCCTATTATGCAAAATTCCATCTTGTTTCTTTTTTTTTTACTGGTAGTATTTCACTAGAGCTGGAGCATGCTCCGGCTTCCAAGCGACTCCAGTATGGTACAGGAGTAGAATGCTTTCCACGGTGTCGTGGCCAGCCTCTAAATTACACTATCATAGGGATGAAAAGGCAACATAGTTTTGGGTGTTCCACTGAGATTCAGCAGACCCATCTTCATACTGGACAAATGCACAACCATCAATACATGGTACTGAGCCCTGACTGAGTCCTGACCTATCCAGGACACAGTTTGAGAACACAGCAGAACTTGAGCCTCGTTTTAAGCAAATCCCTTATTGTCCCTGCATGTCTAGGATGGCCACTGACCTGCTCAAAATCACCTACACTCGTTAGTGCTCAGCCCTGTTGGTAGAGTAGCACTTCAGACAAAAGTTTTGAATTTTATTGCAATTCAAAAGCCAGGACAAGCCAGAAATCACTTTTCCACCTACAGTCTGCTATCAAAAATAGGCTCTTGATGCACACAGACACACAAACCCATAAAAAACCTCCTACTATATGAAATCGATGTAAAGTTTCCTGAATACACTTCAATCCAATTTGTATATTCAAAGAGAGCTAGCAAAGCCCAGTCTGAAGGAAAAGACAGTAAAGACACCTTGAGATCCTGCACAAGCAAACAAGCACGATAACTTGTTTCTTAAAAAAAAAATAAAAAATAAAAAAAATTCACATATGCTTAGAAGTATTTCCAAAGAATTGTTGCTTAAGAGCTTTCTTGTAGAAAGGCACTTCTGACTTAAAACAATGACAAAAATCAGCAAAGATGTTTATTGCATAATGTAAGGAAACAATAATGGACAGTTTGCATAGATGCTGGAAACCAGGAACAGATGAGCACAGGCTGTACGCAGCATAAACATGACAATAATATGGATCCCAATTCACTACTGTGAAACACCAAGATAGAATGCTGGAATGGCTTCAGATACACTTACAGTAAAATATAGCCCATTTTACATGATAATGAGTCTTTGTGGGCATTTGATTCAAGTATCCTGAGATACAGAAAGCTAACCCTGCTGATGCTCTAGGAACTGACACAAATGAGAGGACTTTTGGAACTACATTGCAGACTTCTCAATAGAGAACAGTGTTCACAATGCCATTTAGATCCACTACAAGTTCAATTGCAGCATCTGTTTAACCTTAAGCAGCAAAAAGGCACTGACAGAAGACAAAGTGCTTGCGAGCACAAGGCAGGTCCTGCAGGAAGAGGAGGAAACCATCCTGCAGTGTTGACAGTCACCAAAAGTTCTGACAGGCAGCCACCTGGAAGCTGTGGCTCCTGGGCAGACAGTGCAGGCAGATAACAATACCGACTCTTTTCGCTGATGCTGTGGCATTATACATTCCTCTTCTCTCTGACAAAGTCAGCTGCTCAGCCAGATTCTAGACTTTCTATTTCATCACCAGAAGATACGACTTAGTGAAGATCTTTCTGTATGAGAATTAGCACGTGTATTTTTTTTTTCTGTATACTCTGTGAAATCAGACTGTTTCACAGTCCTACTCTGCACCAAAGCTGAACATCCAGTTAGCTGTGACAGTTCTCCACCCAATCATTTCTATTTTCACACCAGAAAGATTCAAACCTTGCTAGGCCCAATACCAGATGACAGGTCCCACACAGAACAGTAAGTCAACCATCCACCTCCACCATGGGACTGCACCGCTGCTGGGTCAATATAAAAAAAAAAACATGCTGTCATCAACAGGGCTACACAACCAGCATTTCAGTGGACAGGGTGCACAGCACCACAACTCTGCAATCTCTGCAAGCTCACATCTGACTCTGAATGTGTTTTCTCCTTGCAATAGCTATAACACAGCATGCCCGAGCCTCACAATGCCTGTTTTGCAGCTGGGATGTGAGCAGTAACACTGGCAGTTGTACCAAGACAGGACCATTACCAGTGAAGACAACAGCATAAGATTCAGACATCAAAAAAACTACCAATATACCAGAACAGGCTTGCTTAATTCATGCAGCTACAGCTTCTCAGCTACAGTTCTCATCCCAAACGAACACGATAGATATATGCCAGCTAAAAAAGCCATAGACATGGGGACAGCTTTAGAAGAGCTCAGCCCAGAGGCAAATCTTGCCCAGTGCATGTAACTGCTCCTCATGCTTGCATCAAAGTGTGGCAGCTTTACACTCCCTGTACTCATGCCCTATCTTAGCGGGTTTGAGGCGATTTTCTCCAAGAGACCCTTGTGGCTTCTGTCTGTTAGTCCCATAGATCATGGCCACAAGATGATACACAGATTTGATGAGAACCACAGGGTAGCCCAGTTAACCTGGCAGAGCAGCCAGCCAGCATGCAAAGCAGAGAGCAGTGAGTAATAAAGCACCACACCCAAAGCAACAGCTGAGAAAATGCCAAGTGCCACTAAGATTCACAGAAAGACATGCACAGAACTTTACAATTTTCAGGTGCTTATATACCAAAAGGCACCAACCCAATGACTTTGTTATTGGTTGTGAAGAAAGCCAACTCTTCTACAGAGCTCCTGGTACCACTTCCAGACAAGATCTGGATGGTAAAAGTAACATCCAAGAAGGGTCTCCAAACACATTTCCTCTCCCCTGTAACTTACTGTCAATTCAGTTCTTCATCTGCTCCAATACCAGGCATTGCAGTGCTGCACCTCTTTGAATGCCTCATCCAACACAAGCTTGGTGGGCGTTCACTACTCCAGAAAGCTGTCTTATCTTTCCTCTCAAACCCATAACCCAGGAAGGGCAGCTGTCACCACTCCATGCCTGCTGTTGCTGTCCCAGAAGTGTCATTGGCTTGGTGCCTGTGCCACCCATGAGTTTTCAGACAAATTAGTGTGATTCTCCTACCTTTGTATGTGAGCTAGTAAACAGGAATGGGAATTGATGGGATTGGGGTTACAAGCTACAGTCCATAAGCCGTGATCTGATTGCTGCCTTGAAGTCTCTGTAACAACAGCCACAAGTCAGATCCCAGAAAACATGGAGGCAAGTAGTGAAGGGGAGGAAAAAAAAAAAAAGAACAGGTAAGAAAGAAACCAGTACAAACACCCAAGCACAGGTAAGTCAGCCATGCCACATGGCAAAGCTCCAGTGTACTGACACTAACAGAACACCCACAAAGGCAGCACACTGCGCCTCTGCCTACCTGGTTGAGGGATCCATAATAACGCAGAATACCAGGTTCAGCCTCACTTCAATATGTCAAGCATTTGACGCTGGCTGTTAAGCCTGAGAAATAACCTGGTATGCCCAGCCATTTGTAGTGGAGGTGGAAGAGGTGTCTATCATGACTTCCACAGAACATGAGTCCTCAAGGGAAGGTGCTGTCACTGAAGTTTTTGACTGATGAGACCCACTACCTCACATGCATCCCTCTGGTTCTTACTGCAGTCAGTTTCGGAAGCTTTTAGGATTACGGAAGTGACCTGTACTACTTCTGTTCTGGTCTCAACACCTCCTCTCCAGTAACAAACTCTTACAACTTTTAGATTTATACAAAAAAAGTGTCAAAAGAGTACAATTCATCTGGCAAGATAAACGCCTGACAAGAAGGGAAAGGGCCTCAATGCCACTAGGTGATACAACCTTGATATTTTCTGGATCTTCTACAAACATGTTATGAATTAACTGTGTCACCAGAACTCTCATGACAACCTTGCTGCCAGAGGGCTTGAAGAGAAATGGATGGCTTACCTTAAATTTTATCTTGTTTCATCACTGCTAATCATGGTGATGATTACAGATTACATGATGAAACAGACTGCTTGTTACCCTAGCTCAACTGAACTAAGTCTCTTCCCATTAAGTCTACTCATACCAGGATTCCAGGAGAGCAGCAGTCTTCTATCTTAGTTGCGTGAACCCTGACGCTTACCATTCCTACAATCATCTGAAGTTGTCAGCCCCGGAGCAGAAAAAGCAAGAACTATTCTTAAGTTGAGACAACAGGAGACGCCACTCTACCCAAACTAAGTAAATTTACACCCTTTACTTTTCCCAGTCTACTCTAGAACTTTATGCACAACAATTACCCACAGCAGCATCAATTCCCCCTACTTATCCTACTTTCTGCCTTTATGCTCAGATAGTTCTATAAAAACAAAGCAAACAAACAAAAAGGCATATATTTTGTAACTGAAAATCCACTTTCCTGAGGAACTGATTAGAGTAGGGCTGCTTCTTAGACCTTTTGGTCTCTCTCCAGATTGGACTGGCAAGATTAATGGGAGAAAGGCAGCATCATCTTCTGAAAAAACCTGACTTGAGCCAGCAGAGAACTGAGCTTATTCACTTTTCTAGTCATGGTCGCTGATGGCTTCATGAACGCTGAATGGACATCTCTGCGTACATCCTAGAAGAGGAGTCCAAAGTATTAAGGAGAAGTGCCCCAAGAAACCACCAATTTTCTTCCTCTCCCTGCAGGAAGAACTTCCGAGAGTATCCACTGCAGTTCATTCACTGGAGGCCCTCTCCCACGTGCAAACAGCTGCAGTAATTGCAACATCACACCACAGGGATCTGCTACCCTGCCTTCTGACACAAGCTAGAAGCTTTGCCTACACCACTGCATGAAGTGTAAGGAGCTACACTGCTGAAGCCCTGATTTGGGTTTTGCCACTCACTTTCCTCCTGTCCTGAGCAAAGAACTCCACTTTGCAGCTAAAGACGGGGATGAAGAGGAACAGCCTGCCTGTCCAGGGAGCTGGAAGAGTAGTTACCCAGCTCTAAACAAGACAAAAGTTTGGTTAGAGGAGAGAAGCCAACACAACTCTGTCCCACAGCTGTCTTTAACCGAGAACAACACATGTAAAGCTTGGCACTCTCCCAGAAGATCAGAGCCCACAGAGTATGCAGAACGTTAAAAGTAAGCCAGCAGAGGCTCCCAGCAGCTGGCAAAACTGAGATTACATCCACCTGTCTGAACATGCCAACAAGGAGCTTCCCCACAGGCTGGGCAAGTGGTGGGACAATAAAATAGAATCACAGCTACAATCGTAACTCAGAAAGGGGCCAGCTCCATTCCCAGAAGGGAGAGCGGCTGAGGTTTGTCTGAGCCAATAGCAGGTGCAAACAGAGACTGAAAGGGGAATTACTCACTGTGTGTTCATTTTCCACATTCGCCTGCTGTCTTCGGAGATCAGCCCTAATAAATGCTTCAACAAAGAGAGGAAGAAAAATGTGAAGGTAGTTTTATTTCCATGCAGATCCCAAATCAATTTATCTCATATTCAAAGAGGTAAAGAGGCCCAAGGAGAATTCATAATGGTGAGCAAGGGAAACCACTGTCCCTAAAAAGGAACACAGTGCATCTATATGGTGCAATAAGGAGTCTCTGTCCTTCCTTTTTCAGAAAGTACATCTTGGAAACCCCAAAAAGCAACCAGGGCAAGAAGCCTTGGATCATTTTGCAACACAAACCAAATGCTTCAAGAAGTACTGTGACACTGCCACAGGGCTGCTGTGTGGGTTCTGCCCTTTCCTGAAAGTACTGCCACCCCTCAAAGCCCTTCAATTCACATGCCAAGTTCAAAGGGAAGAGTCACAGCAGAACACTCAGAAATTTAATTACCTGTCATAATGGACCCCAGGAACAGGAAGGAACAAAGAAAGAGATTTCCTGCCTTTGTCTCGAAGTGATCTATGATCTTCCCTTGGCCAATGGTGAAGGCAATACCGAAGATCTACAAACACAAGGTCAAGCTGTACTGTTATAAAGTAGCCTGTGCAGCTTCTCTGCTTTATCAAACTATCAGAGCACGCAGGCCTGACAAGCTGTTGCCCTCGTTAGGCTAAAGTTTGGTTATAAACACGTCCAGGGATACCATCTTTCAGCTGATGATATGACAGGAGACCCTCAAGGCTGAAAGCCCATCTCTGGGCAGAGGACAAGACCTCTCTTACTGAACTGCTAGGAACAATGATGGAAAAAGAAAAGATGACTGGCATCCTGATGGACATTTTCCTTAACGAAAACAGTGAAAAGAACGGGTGCCAGTAAACAAATGCCACAAGGATCGCTGCTTGAAAAGCCAGGTTCTGAGGTGCTTAGATCTGCAGCAATAATCACAGACAAGAAATGGGATTCAGGGCTGGAAACTACAGTTTGATATCTCTGCCTATTAAAAAAAAAGAAAGAAAAAGAAGAAAAACACCAACCTGTGCTGAGACATTAAGGAGCCCTGATGATGTTCCTTCTGATTCTGGGTATGTCAACTCTGCAGCAAACTCAAAGCCCAGGGGAAGGTACCCTGTCATGAAAAATCTGTAAAGAAACACACAGAAAAGAAAACTCAGTGACTGCTAGGAAGAAGACTGAAGAGGCACAATGTATCACAAATGCCTGCTGGATGCTGGACTTTTGCTTGGGAAATTTCCCATATCAATGCCACAGCCCACACAACTGCCTGACTCTTTGTGGCACAGGTCTCCCTCCTCCCCACAAACACTTTTGCTCACAGCCTCAGGCATGGAGCCAAGCCTGCAGGAGGCTGCGAAGAAGGAGGTAGTAAAAGCAGCATCTCCCAAAAGCAACACGAAAAGGCATCACCCCCAGCACAGTCCATCAGCCAGACAGCCCTACATGCATTTTCCTTTTGTCCTTATCCCACATGAGAGCCACAAGCAGGATGTGGCTCTCCCCAGTCCCTTCTGGGCCATGACTTTTGCCTCCCTCCTCATATCCTAGCAGCAAGCATGGAGGAAAGAAGCCTGTGCATGAACTTACCCTAGAATGCCTGCAGTCACAAAGACTACCCAGAGGTGGCCTAGATCCAGAGTGAAAGTGTAGACTATCATCCCCACCAGAGACATGATATAGACCACTAGTGTTGTCTGTCTGCAAGGAAAAGCACAGTCAGGGTTTTATATAATCAAATTCTCCACTTCACTCATAGATCTTGGTATATCTTGCAGCACACAGTAAAGAAAAAAGCTGTGCAGCTCTCACACACTCCACACTCTGAATTATCAGACCCTCACCTAGAACAGAGGGAAAACCAAGGATGCCGTTTCATGTGTATTTGTTTTTCAATGCACTGCAGTGATGCCTCTTCTTGTGTTTGAGCTAGCTTCTACATTTGGAGAGGTGAAATGTAAGCTGAATAATAACTAGGCTCAAGGATAGAATCACAGTTTCCTGGCTGTAGTGACCAGGTTTGAATTAGATGGAATTTCCATAAACAAGAGTCCCAAACTTCAAGTCAATGCCAAAATACATTCTCATCATCATAAGCCTCCATGATGAATCTGTGATCCTCAGAAGCTTCATCTCTGCTAGCAGGGACAGTTGGCACATTGGGAAAATTGTTTTCTGCACCCCCATCCAGTTTTGGTCTCAGTGCAGAAGTCTGAAGTTAGTTTCCCAGGCTTATGGTTCAAGTTTTTGAAGCAGTTTATAACTGCTTCACTATTTCTTGACAGTTGCCCATATTTGCACTTCACTCCTCAACTCCAGGCAAAGAAGATGAATGAGTTAGTGACCAGATGTGGTCAGGACCTTGTTTCATATTGATGCTATGTTAAGCTGCAAGAAGGAAGTTCCCAGAACACACAGTCCTCCAATGAGAACTAGGCTGGCTCAGAGAAGCAGGCAGATCTTGCAGTTTAAAGCAAATTATGTTTTCCACTGGAACTGCAGAACTTGGAGGGGGGAAAAAAAAATGAAGAAAACTTTTCAGTCTTGCTATGGATATCACACATTAGCAAGCTCAAAAAAAACAACTAGCTCTCCTCACTGATCTGTATCCCTCAGTCACTAGACTCCAGCAGTACAAAATGAACTGACAGTCACCTGCGAAAGAATGCAGGCTTCAGGACAGTGGAAGTCACACACCAAGAAATGCCCTAGATGTGCATTATTGAGTTTGACCCTACTTGCCACAGTCCCCAATAGACAGCTCTGACTGCAACTCCTGCTGCAGAAAACAGCCTCAAAGCATACAGGCAGTCTTCTGTTAAACAAGATTTTAGCAAGACTCTGCTCCCCTGAGTATATCATGGATGACAAAAAAGGAGACTTAGTGACAAGCAAGGTCCAAAATTTTGCATACAAACAAAGGGCTTAGCCAAGATGCAGGCAGATACTGGGGCACAGGGAAACAAAGGAACCCCTGGGGAAAGACACCAAGGCAGGGTGTTTCTCATGAAGTGACCTTTTGTCAGCACATTTGCTAGTCAGAGGACAAGGAGAGTGCACTATGACTCTAGGGGCACCCAGGGCATGGAAGAATGCCTTGTTTTGCTTGATAAGGTTCTTATCATTGCCATAAATCTCTTATGGGAGGGATAAAAACATGAAGAAACAGATTCATAGAGGACATTTGTGAAAAATACAAGGACACTGTGAGCTGTTCCACAATGTCCCTACAGGGACTGAAAGTTATCTTCAAGTGGGACAGGTACAGCCAGTCTCCTGGAAAGGATGTCCAATGCAGTGAGCATTGCTCAAAGTCACGTGTCCTGCTACATCACCTTAGGACAACTGGGCAGGATACGGTGAAGGCATGCCCACTACACCAGGACTAGCCTGGAAAAGGATTACAACAGCAGGCCCAAAAGGCAGACCAGGATAGGCTGGCCACTTTTTTTTCAGTGCAAACTCAAGTGTCCCATTCTTTACTATCTGAGTCTTCCCTTCTCTCCACAGATTTTAACATACTTCAGGCCTGCACAGACCCAGGTTTAAAATATCACTTAGGTACTCTACCTGGTCAGTGGAAGGAGATGATTATTTCTGAAGCAAATATGACAGTAGAGAGCACTGTCTGGAACTGTTAGACTGAAGGCCATGTGAATATTGCTATTAAAAGTTAAGTTCAGCTGAAGAGAAGCACTGACCCAAGGCCTTCGTCTCTAAACCAGGCTCCCCTAATAAATGCCAAGGCACCCAAAGTGAACAGGCAGTCACCAGGTGTCTTTCCAGACAGGAACCGAAGAATGCATAGGAAGTTCCATTTAACTCAGAATCAGAACTTATCAGAATTTTTCAAGAGCTGCTCAGCTCTCAATCAGCAATCCCAAAGGCAGCCTGAGCTCTGGGACAGTTCACTTGTACATTTGTTTGGGTCATATCTATGCCTGTTAATTCCAAAACTAAGAACACTGATGGGGCTGCTTTAGGGACTTGCCTGCCAAATAAAAGCAAGAATGCAAGGCCATTTGCCTGAGCACAACAGATGGGGAAAGCCTGATTTTGCACAGCCTCATCCCTGGAAGGAACTGCTGATGGGACAGTGATGATCAAACATCCACAAAAAGTGTTCTACAGTTCCTCATGTTACTAATCTCCTCCTGCTCCTCTCAATCACAGCTGGATCTCATTCACTTGCTTCTCTCTCCCTCTCTCTTTCTCTGAGCTGACTAAAAAAAGGACTTGACATCTTTCCTTCCTGATTTTCATGTGCTTACCATTTCATTCCTGACACTACCAGAGCAGTGCAGAGAAGGGGGAGGGTACCTGCCTAGAACATCTGGCATCTTGACAGTTTTTTAAATAGACTTTTAAATGAGGCTAAATAAAGATTCTGTAGCATTCTGAAAAAAAAAAAAAAAAAAAAAAAAAAAAAAGCTAGTTCCACAGAAATCCTAGTTACTAGGCTGCAAAGGAGAGCAAATTCCTAGCAGTTTTTCTTCACTTAAAGCTAAATCTATACCCAGATATTCTTAGGAGCCCATCGGATAAGTTTTATGGGTGGTAGAGCTCTATTTCTCTGCACTCTCAGGCTTCTCTGCCCACCTATGTGGCCTCTCAGCATATCCAGGATTTTATTTTCCATCTATGCTTGCCAAACTGTGAGTTCCAGCTCCGCCTGGTTAACCACAAAGTTCTTCAGCCCTTGTGCTACTACTGAGTTCTATTCACAGAGAGTCACGAAGACCATCTACCCAAGCAGTGCCAACTGAGGCTACCTTACCACTAACCCCAATCTGGAAAAAGACAAGTTAGATTGCACAATTAGCTACTGCAATTCACCAAAGCTGTGTTTCCATTTCCTAGGACTGCCAAATGAGAAATAAACTCAATGGTCGTGATCTAGAAATGACAAGAGACCTACTGGTCTCTCTATTAGTCATTTGCTCCTGTCCCGTAGCACGCCCCCAGGAGTCCTCATGTTCCATTCTTTCTTGTCAAAGAAGGCCAGTTCCTCTGCATTTCTGAACCCGTACTTGATTGCTAGGCTAGAGGCCATTTCCGAAGCTGCAAGACCGCAGCTTGCCAGATTCTCCTAAGCAGCCCACAAGATAGTTTAAAGTCAGTGGCACAAGGCAGTTTAAAGGCAGTGGTACCTTCCAAGATAAAAAGCTGCTGCAAGGAAAATACCTCTCAAGTTGCCTTCAACTCATCACATGCGTATCACCAGAAAAGCCCCATCCTTCCCCTCAGATAAATTATAGTCTCAAAGTGAGCAGACAAACTGGAAACTGATTACATGGATCCCCACAAAAAAAGAAAAAAAGAAAAAAAAAAAAAAAAAAAAAAAAAGGTGTGCTCCATTCCCTGAGACACGCTATACAGAAAAGTCTGTCAGCAAGATCCTGAGGACTGGGAGCTACAGGACACCCAGAGACCCTTCACTGTCTCCTTGAAAATGGGCACAGTATGCTGGCCAAATCTGCTGTCTCAGCCCACTAAGCAGTAAATCCAGAACCACCCATCCACAACCTCGTCACCCCTTCCCTTGCTTCTGTCCTGAATACAGTAACATGCACTCATACAATGCCTCTGGGCAGTGGATTAAATGTGTCTTTCATTAAACAGGACAAAGATGCACAGAAGCTGATTTGTAAGGGCAGAGAAATGGTCTGGTACAGTCGCGATTCTGCTTGTGCCAAGAGCTCTCTCATCCCTGGCAAAGCAGCAGTCAAGCTATCTTATCTCTCCCCTCCCCCATGTTTCCCTAAGGAGCACTATAGCACTAGACCTCATATGGGTCCATCAAAGACTAACATGCTGCCTCATACTTCAGACTAACTGGATTCTCAACAACTATGTTTTTTTCCCTGCAAACCCTTCCTAGCAATTCAGTCTCTGGACAACCAAGCTGCAACTGCAGAGTTGTTCTCTGCAACTCTGAGGAAGGAGAAGAAGAAGAGCACAGTCACTAGCAGCAAAGAGGCAAGAGACTTACTTGTAGGTTTTGGTTTTGTCCAACCAGAGGCCAGAGATCAGAGCACCAGCCATGCCTGACAGTACAATGGTGAGTCCAATCCTGCCAGCATTCACCTCCTCATTCTGTGGGAAGACACACACAAAAACACAGGAGCCAAGTCATAGCCAAAAACTGAGGTGTGGAGAACTCAGACATGAAGAGACACCAAAGTTAGTATCCCATACACGACTTCTTCTGTTAACTAGCTAATGAAAAGCAGCATTTGCAAGAACTCTTTTGGGTACACGCACTTTTCTCTGGGCCAGCCCAGAGAACACATGAACGCGCTGGCCAACATGAACAGGTACTCTCAGAGAAGTCAGCCTAAACTCAGTGATGCTTGATATCCAGCATCAGAATTTGGGCCAGATCAACCAGGAAATCCTGGGGCCCACTACAAGGTAGCACGGACAAGCTCTATTTGGCGCTCTGTCCCAGCTTATTGCATCACAGCAGCTCAGCACCTAGAGCACACACAGCTTTTAGGTGCAGATACACCAACAGAAATCACTGTCAGGAATAGGGTAGAGACAACTGCTAGGAGAATCTCAGAAGAGCGAGCTTATACTTGAGTCTTTTAGGGTATGTAGGAGTTGTCTTTTTTAGAGCTCCCATTCTTCACAGAGAGCTGTAAAGAACAAAAAGAAATGATGGTCTCTAGCCAGTCAGTCAATCCAGGCCAGAGCCAGTCAGAAGTGCTGCAGAAGCACTTTAATCCAGGCCAGAAGCACTGTACTTCTCACAGACTCTCCTTTGGCAGCTAATAATGGACAACAGCATGCATCAGAAAGCCACAAAGACTGGATGCACTTACTGGGTAGTGATGGACTACCATGCGGTTCAGCAGAGTGGACAGGGAGTAGAAGCAACCTGCATTCAGACCTGAGAGGAGGATAAAAATGAGGCAAATTCAGTCTGCTGCTATTCTGCTGTAGAAATGATCAAGATCATTAGGACAGCAGTCTACAGTTGGGCTGCAGAATATCAGGAGATACTACAGCTGGACAGGCTGGGTACTGGCAGAAATGCAGACCAAGGACAACTGGATCTCAGCATGCAGTAGGAAGCACCCTGCAATGTCAGGACAGTTCTTACCCGAACAGCCAGAAGAAAAGCTGTGCATATTTCTAGTAATGAAAGGTTACACAAGCTCTTCATAGGGTATCAACTCCTCCCTCACAGGCAGAGGCATCTTCAGCAGTGGAGCTGAGTTTTCTCAAAGCAATGGCAAAGTTGCTCAAAGCCTCAGCATCAGGTGAATCTCAGGGCCCAAGATTCAGTTTACAACAGTGCCACTGATCAGCAAGGTTTCCTTCCCAAAGAACCTGGCAGCTCTCTCCCGGCTGACAGTAAAGGACAATCTCTCCAAGCCAAGAAATACCAAAAGGCAAGAAGGAGCAGATCTAATGGCAAGCACAGACAGCACTTCCCCAAGGCACCTGGTGCATGCATCTGCATGAGGAAAGTCTTGCATTTTTACAAGATACCACTGAAGCCTGAAAAATAAAAAACAACTGTGAAAGTAATCGCCTTTCAGAAAGGGAAGTTAGATTAACTGTTAGAGGCGTCAGCCACCTGGTGAAGGTTTCTCAGTATCACCCAAGGTGAGAATGGAAACTGTTGAGGGTGATACTGGTCAAGCCATATTCAGACACCCGGCTGCAATACATATGCAACCCTGACTGTGTTGAATGCCTTCCTGAAGGGCATGGAAAACAAGAGTGCTTTTAAAAAAAATATATATATATTATTTTTTTTAAAACAGTAGACAAGCATATCCACATGGGTGCTGGAGTAGCAGTACCACAACGGCTACACTCTCACCTTGGGTGATACTGAGAAACCTTCCCCAGGTGGATGATGTCTGTAACAGTCAGCTCAACTTTCTTCTCAGAAAGTCATTTACATTTGCAGTTAGTTTCTCTTCAAGGCTCCAGTGAACTTAGCAGGGGGAGGGACAGGGACACAGATTTCACCACCGCAGCTCACATATTTACAGCTCCATAAAGTGGCATGGGATTTTAAAATTCTGGCTCAGATGCCAGAAATTCTGACAGCCCAGATACATGTCAAGTTCCCACTTCCTGTTTTCCCTCTTTCAGCCTCAGCTAAAAGCAGAAAGATGGCAATACATGGTAGAGAAGTGCAGTCTAGCAGGCAGAGTTTTGACAACACCCTGAAGTCAAACTCCTGCTTCCCTATTCCTGATGCCTTGGGCAATCCCAGACCCAACCCAGCAGCTACACAGCTCAGGAAGCAAAGAAGCCACAAGATTAACAGCTGGAGGGAAGATCTCACTTTGTTCACACACCATCCTTGACAACTTTAAGCAGAGCTAACTTCACAGCTTCATGGGGCAGAACAGACGAATAATCTTAAGTGAATGACCCCATAAGCTGACTGCCTGTGGCAGTGCTTTTGTTCCAAATGCATGTCCCAGGAAGTGACTGGAGAGGCAAATATGCTGAGTGACTTGCTCTTTAGGCACAAATAAACCAACCAACCCTTTTCAAGTGTTATCTAGAAAGGCTGGAAACTCCTGCAGCCTTGAAAGCTGGCTCTTTGCAACACCTGACTATGGCAAAGCACCCCACAAGAATCTAATCTGAGTTCATCCCATCTCCACCTCTGGAGCACCCAGCTCACTAGGAGACACAAAAAACTGCACTGTCGGGTCGTGGGAGTGTGGCAGATCAGAAGTCCTTTAAGTCTTTTACCCGCTGCTGCTTCATCTCAAAGCTGGGCACAAACATAGGCCAGTCATTTATGTATCTAGTACTTCCCACTTAACCAAGAGGACAGCAGCCTGCTGGTGACAGTCAGACTCTGGTAGCTGATGCCATATTAGCATGCCAGCTCCACAGAGGCTCTGTGATGCATGGGATTTCCAAGAAAGAGAAGGGCGCCTAATCCTAAACTGGGTGGAAAGAGATGCTGAGTTGGCAACAGCACTAGGCACCAGACAAAATACGAATTAAGACAACAAGTCCAAATTGCATTTGTGAAGGCTGACAAAAATGTAGGCATTTTACATGTCACAATTGCTTGGTGAAACTTCTCCACAAATTATAGTCAGCTGTTTGAATGCCTGTAAAATAAACAAGAGATGTGTCCAATGGTGCCTAACCGCCTTTGTGGATGAGGAAACCAGAACCAATAGCTGGGATAAACACATCTGAAGGTCCAGCCTCACCCGATTCATTAGTTAGTTACCATGGTTTACTTGTAGTGTTGTATAAGAACATTTTTGAGACCTCACAATGCCTCCTATATTTTACAAAGGCCAGAAAGGGGAAGTTTATTGCCTAAAGTTCCAAAAGAAGCTCTTACGAATCCTCTGACTAGATCTCAATTCTCCTGTAACTAAGCAGTGTATTACCTACAAGCCTTCCTCTTCACCTTCATCATCATCATCATCCAGAAAAATGATTCCTTATGCAGACCTCATTATCCTGTCTTTTCATCACAGCCCCTTTCCAAATGCTGATTTTTTGGAGCTGTCTCATCATTCCCACTTAACATTCCCTTCCCAAGCTTTCCCACCCTTTTCCTGCCCATTGCCTCTTTGTAGCAATGTGCAGTTCCAGTGCAGAGTTCAATCCAAGAAACTCAAGAGCTTCTTCATGCCCACTCCATGTCATGACTCAGCTTTACTGAGGCAATGCCAGCAGTCTTTGGGAAAAGGCAGCCTGAAGGTTTCCCTGATAAACAGTTCACCTGCACCAGCACTGCTGCAGTGCCACCAATGTTTCCACCACTGCAAGTCTTACCTCCTGAAAACCACAGGAAAGGAGCTGGCAGCTGCTGGTAATATCATTTTATCTTAGAGATCCACAGGCCTGTTCTGACCTGGCATCCCATGAAGGCCCACATTCTTTCTAAAGCCATGGCAGATGAAGCAGCAGGCCACTTCCCACTCTCTCCTCTGTTGCACACTATGCTAATACAAAAGCTAAGACAGGCTGCAGATATCTGTGTTAGCGAGGAAGGATGACTCAGTTGTGCTCTTGTGGCTGCAGATGTCTTAAATCTTGGCCAACATAACTTCTGACTTGATTAGGAAAAACTGTCCCCATTTTTAAAGCCAGACAAGTTTAAAAAAAAAAAGTTTCACTGCTTAGTTCCTTCTCTGAGTAACAGTCACATTATCTTCACTGCCAGCAGCCTTACAGTCAAGTTGGATTGATGTGAGGCTGACATAGGGAGGAGCAGAATAAATGCACAGGCTGGCAGGAAGAAAGGTGGGACTTCACATCATTTGTGACTGCCAGGAAGGAATTATGCCAGGGAGATCAGATACTAAATATGCCCTTCGTACTGAGAGCCTGCCTCTCTCATCTAGGGCTTGTTCACACCTATTAAAACTAATGCTTTCCCCTTTCTTTTTCCTGAAACATACATGCAAACTGAGCAGATGACACAATCCAGCTTTTAGCCAGCTTGCCTCAGTCTGTTTCTTGACAGCTTTTTTCAATCTCCACTTTCATAGAGGACACCAAGTACTAGAGAAAAACAAACAAAACACAACAGCAACGTAAACCAGCAGAGCCTACCAGTGGTCTGAGAAGTGTTTATAGTGAACTGTCACACTTGGAAGGGAGAGGAGATTTCAGCAGCTCCAAAGACCATTAGCAACCTCAGAAAATACAAAGCCATCATGACACTCTTTCCAATTGGATATTCCACCCACAAAATTCACAGCTGAACACAGAACCACAGAAGTTCACGCACTTGTTATCTTTCCTCCTGAAAACCTTCCACAGCAAGATGGGAAGAGGGGACAGACCACTCTGCAGACAAGCCCACAACTCTATCATACAGCCAGACACAGGCTGCAGTGGCCTTCCCTGTCACCACTAAAGAGAAAAATAGTTCTGGATAGGACATCTCAGCATCAGGAACAGATTCAACATACCACACTGCCCTCAGAGAAATACAGCAAGACTGTTGAAGAGAAATAGCAAATTCAGTATGTAAGAACAGATGGCAAAAAGAACGTAGTCTCCAATCCTTCCTTCTACTTGCTTTATAGGGATTGCCAAAAAAAGCTGGAGCAATCTGAACACCTACATGCTCCACATCACCTCCACTGGGAAGCCTGGCAATCATACACTTTCCTTGGAAAATAACTTGCACTCAGTGCAGTGACTTGCACTCAAACACAGCTCCATGTTTCTTAAGTAAACACTTAGATTAGTTCAAGTTACTAATGAACTAGAAAAGAAAAAAAAGAAAAAAAAAACAACAAAAAACAGAACTTGATAAGAAAATCCCCTGAACAGAAAGCGGTCGCAAGCTGAGAGAGAAGAAGTCGTACTGTGAGGTTGTACTGTGCTGAGCATGCTTGCGCTGCTTTTATTCTTCCCTAGCCATTTGCTTGTAACCACTGCTGGACAGACTGTGGTGCTAGAGGGACCCCTGATATGCGGCAGCACAGCTATCCTTCTGTTCCCCTAACCCTGCTCAGCCCAGTTACAGCCCTGGCACAACACAGAGAGAGGGGGAGAAGCTAAGTGTATCTACCAGAACAGAAAAATAGCCAGAACTTACCATAAGTGACCATAAGCAGCACAAAGTTGGCATTGCGAAGCAGGCGGAGGATCGACTGCACATAAGAATATTCCTCTGATGGCTGTGACTGGATCAGGGCCTGAGCTCGGCTCGGAGGGTATGGAGGCTTCTCTTTGAAGACTGAAACCATACACAAAATAGACTTGTTTGCAACAGGGCAACTAGGGAGCCTGAGCACACGAGGAGGGAACTACTCAAGAGATAGCACAGGGGCTAGTAAAATTAAGTGTACAAAACACATCAGCATCCTTCAGTTTTGATTCTCTGTGACACAGACTTATCCAGAAACAGGAGAAGAGAGTGTCTCTGCAACAACTCCTATCACTGGGGAAACACCTTGCCTTTAATAAGCAAGTTGTATAGGCATTTGGCAGAAGGGTTGGCAGGACTAATAGCATGGTCTGCAGGAAGGTGGAGAGACAGCTGCTAAAGCGTTGTATGGACATACAAATGCGAAAGAGAAATGAGAAAAGCCATCTGGCAAAGGTGGCCTGGTGCCCCACAGTGTCCAGTGCTTAGGAAGCCCATGCTAGGTTTTACATCAAGTCTGGCACCTCTCAGTCTGGACAAACTGACTCTAATTAGCATTAAAGCAGTGCTCAGGAATCCCAGTTGTCAGTTATATACTGCTGTACTAGGAGACACACCTATTTTGGTACCTTGTCTATTCTCTACCCCAGAATCATTAAAAATCTACACTTGACTCACCTACCAGGCAACATAAACAAGCTGGCAAGAGGAATCTCTTAAAAAACAATAATTTAAATATTTAGCAGGTAAGCTCTGCTCTCCAATGAGAATGCCAATCTGTCATGCAAATGTGTGAACTGGAAGCTAGATCTTTAACAGGGGGGACTGCATCTCTAGTGTCCTGCTACTGCCCATAGCACTTTTTTTGCTCCACTCCCAACTGGTAACCCTTTTTTTTTCTTCCTGAGAACAGCATGTTCTTGCCACATAGCCTACCTACTTCTCCCTATCCTTAAGATGTAATCAGCTCCAAGACATGACCCAAAGCCCAGCACCCTGTTTGTAGGCAAGACTGCGAACACTGAAATATTTCTATGATCAGTACTTAAAGGGCTTATTCATGCCAGGGTTTTATAACATAGACAGTCTAAAGATGAAATTAACAGTTTGGCAGGTTTGCTCACAAACCCCCTCCCCACCTTTCTACAAGGGCCATTCATTTTGGGCTTGAAGCAGGAAGATCTAGTATTACACGACACAGGCAGCGGTGTGCGGGGACGCTTCCCCACACGATCTCCACTCTCACAGGCTGACCTCAGCTCCACTTGGAGTCCTGCACACACTTCCCATCTCCTTACCTATGACGACCAGGATGAAGAGGGCTGTTGCCACGCCGGCTGTCATGAAGAACATGATGCTTATGTGGTAAGCCAGCTTCTCCACATCTTCCACATTGGGAACAAGCACAGGAGGGATCAGAAAGCCAAGCGCAATGCCGAGCTGAGCAGGAGACAGAAGGGATACAGAGGTGACATGGAACCACAACACTGCCACTAGCTCAGAGCTCATGAGAAATGCAATCCTCCCTCACCTGGTAAGAGCTCTACTGGGCCTATTCTATTGTCACCTCCAAAGTGAAAATCTCCTTTACCACCTAATAACTGACAGCTAAACCAGCTGCCCACAGCAACTAGGCCAGGAGAGGTCTCCCCTCAAATTCACAACTATGACAATGTTCAAGGAAAGGTTTTATAATATAATTGAACAGAATTAATACTAGCCTCCAACAAAGTGGAGTTCTTGCTCTCCTTGTGCTCCTCCACACATTCCACTCCTTATCTTGCATCTATTCTGGTGCCAGTCCAGTCACTCAGCAATCTAACTTGGCTCATTAAAAATGGTGGAAAATGACACTTCCAAAAAACACCCCAGTTCTTTGTTGGGTCAATGAGTTAAACCTATTTTTCCTCTTGCCTGACACAGAGCAAGGGCTGATGTAATGTCAAATCCCGTCCACTCCTGATAACTGAGGTATCAGTCTGTCTTGGCCATTTCATTATGTTATTTCTGAGTGAGCACCCACCAACCCAAATACTTCTCACACCCTTCCCACTGCACCAAGGGAACCTAGAAAAAACATCAAAGCTGAAAGCAAAGGATACATGCTACCAACACTCCCTAAGTGCTCTAGTGTGATGGGGCTTGGCAACTGCCTCAGCTAAATTGCTTGGGCCTGAAGGGCAACAAGCAGAAATCCCTGCAGGTCTGTCATCCACTGTGCCAAGAGTCCCACACGTCCAGCTGAGGAGCTCCTGCAGGGACAGCACAAGCTTCTGTGAGGACATGTGGGCTCTTTGCTGGGTAGCTGTTTCTCCAGGAAAGCAACAAGGAGCTGCAGCAGCATAGGCTTTGCCAGGTTGAGAGGTAGGACTAAATGTCACAGGCATTCTGTGCCACCCCTCAAAGGACAAAGGCAACAAACAGCTGCTTTTATGCTTGGGAGCATGCATTTCATAAAGGCTGAAGTAGAAGTGCACTTATCACATTTCTGAGTGCTCTAAACAGGAGGCCTAACAAAGCCACTTTTTGTTCCTTCTCCTGTATCTCACTTTGCAGTTGGATTTGGTTCCCAACAAGTGTATTTACCTGCTCCTCTGCCCCTCTCAGACATCAGAAAAAAAGAGTCACAAAACAGCTCAGCTCTCGCTTGCTTTCAGAGACGTTCTGCACATTCAGCCCTGTCCACGGCAAAAGCAATCTTCTTTTTAGCAACACCTTCATTTATTTTTTCCTGGTTTGAGCCTACATTTACAAGCAGTAACAGGGCACACACAGGAGCTTCAAACAGATGGAAGGACTGAGAAGGCACCCAAGAAAGAGATGGCAGGTGGCCATGCATCCATTCTCACCTCTGCTTCAAACATAAAATTCCAATCTCTTTTGCAGGCTGGACCCTTTGCTGGGCAATGGAAAACCACTCACGGTGCTGGTACAGTGCTAACCGAACTGAGACAGACTAGAAATGTTAAAAATCCTCCCTGCACTGGTTACTCGTGCTTTACCAACAGCCTTTCAAAGAGCCACTGCCCTCATTCTCATGCTGAAAGGTGATAGGAGTATGCAAAACATGAAGATAAAGGATGTATTCAAATTAAGCCCATTGCATGTACCATTTCATTATGGAAACATCAGATAGATATGAACCCATTAGCAAAATCATAACCAGCTGCCCCATGATTATGCAGCAGAACAGCAGCACTGCCAATGGAAGGATTCAGTGCTCCGCATTTTCACAGTCCCTGGAAAGGGTGTATTAGTGTCAGCCTTATTCTACAAGCAAAGAAAGCAAAGACAAAGAAACACAAGCACTCTGTTGCCCACTAACTGCATACAATCATGGCAGAATACAAAGCAGAACAACCCAGGAGCTCTGTGTCCCAGACAAGCTGAAACACCTTCTGGCTTGCCTTCTTGCAAGAACTCCTCACACCTTCTGTATGCTTTGGCAGACATACCTCCACACCAAAGCACAATGAGGGATTTCATTTAGAAGACCCACTCACTGGCCAGGATAAAGATCGCAGAACAATACACTCCAGGTGCTACATCTGCTGGTTGTAAAGAAAGTCAGTGTGTGGTGTAGCAAGCTCTTCACAAGCCCTTCTACTCCACCCAGCTGGTGGATATTTGAAGCAAGGAAACTGCTCATGGCTCAGAGCTGTCTGCTAGATTCAGAAACCATATTTTACTTACAGACAAGTAAATTTCAACTGCATCTGGACAAACTCATCCTGTGTCAAATAGTGACCTCTCTGGGACACCGTGATAGCATATGTCTGGATCAGCAACAGATACCTGTGCTGAGTTCACTCCCAGGACATCACAGGACCTTGCGGGAAGAGTCATCAAGAGGCTATGGATGTGCCATGCGCCATGCCATACCAGGCCACTTTTGGGAACGAGAGCACTCAGAGGTTCAGTAAGCACAATGAAGAACAGTGAAGATGGACACCAAACCAAAAAGGCACTTACAGGGCAGAAGCCTGCTCACCTCTGCAGCACATTTATTTTGGCCAAAGTATGGTCCTGCCGCTCCAGCATGCCTGCTGAGCCAGGACACAGCCACACCAGGCTCCAGTACTGCTTCTCAGTACTACTCCTAGAAGTTCAGGCTTCAAGGACGAGACTCAACACTGTTCCTTTCCATCTAAAGCTGGGATCTCCCAGCTCTTACGCACCAGGTTCCACGTTGGCCCCTCCACCCTTTGAAAGAGGTCTATAAAGTGCTTCCCGGGACATGCTCCTTTGCCCCATCACCCTTTCATTCCTGGAAGAATAGGGCTGGATTCCTGTGCTAGCTGCTCTTGGGCTTGCTCTCTGCAATCACATGCCATCACATGAGCTGCTGAACCGCAGAACACACACAGAAAATAGGAAGGCTTCTCTGGGACAACGGTCCAGATTCACTCTTTTGTCTAGCCTTTCCTATCTGAAAAGGGTGCTGGGAATCCACTTAACAAATTGTCCAGAAATCCTTTTCTGAGAGTTCTATGGCCACTGACACTCCCACAGGTCTGAGAGAGCTGCATCCGTCACCGCTGCTGTCTTCTCAAAAGACTTGAACACAAAAGAATGTTCATCCTCCCTCCTACCCTTAAAAAAAAAAGTAACACTTTCTCCATTGGGAGTTTATTAAACCTGAGAAAAATTGGTGGTAGATGGAAAAAAATCCCAGCATAACAACAGGAAACACATTCTATATTTCAGGGCTACTGACATTACTAATCCTATGATGATGAAGCCCCTTTGACATACGGAGGGATACTCACAGACCCTGGATATGAATATCACCTTTTGCAACAGAGGCAAGCTCCCCACAACATGCTAAGTATTACACAGCATGCACTTTAGCTTTCAGCAGGGATTTAGCTTTCAGCACATAGCTCAATCTGCAACATAAGAGCATCCCCACATCTGAAATGCACAACCATGTCCTGACCTCCAAGAATTTCCCTGCAGAAACCAGGCTGCTGGCACTTAAGAAGCCTTTGGGATAATTCTTGAACAGAACACCCAGAGAGTCAGCAACAGCAGAGCATGCTGTTCAGATCATTCATTCTCTAAAAGTTGATAAAGTTGATAAAGTAGAAAGAATGTATTTCCTACCTGAATTTTGCCAAGGTGCAGTGCAACAGCGACATCAGATTAAGATCCAACCGTACACAAGAACAGATGATAAAGCAGACAGCAAGTAGCTGGTAAGATGGTATAAATATCTCACAGTGAACAACAGGATTTTTAATTTGAGTTTAGCTGTCTGTATACTGACAGTCTGCTGAAGGATGATCATCAGTGCAGTATTGTCATGGAGTTGACCAGATCAATCTATGTCCGGCACAAAAAGTATAAATGAACGATTGATGGAGGAGTGGGTATCTACCTTAAAGAAACCTAAGACGCAGTATAAAAGCCCTATGAAATTGCAGAGCAACCAGAAACATAGGCACAGGAGACCACCACACCAAGAAGGTCAATTAAAGCGTTAAGATAGAAGGAGAAAGCAAAGCAAAACAAAAAAGAAAACAAAAAACCACAACAGTGAGAAATTTTGGCAGTGGTCCTTACAGGCTAAGGGTTACAATAGGGTTGATGGAAAGGACTTTATTTTCAGAGCCCATAAATACCTTTTTCTAGGGAGAACCCGTAAGACACAACACAACTCCTGATTTAGGGCAGCACACCCCACAACCAATATTAGTGAATAGTTCTGCAGTGCACTCAAACTCAGCTTCCTTACAGCAGTAGGAATAAAACAAATCACAATAGCAAAAAATCCCTTCAAACCACTATGGCAATATTTAACTCACATGAGGGATCTGCCTAAAAGGAAAGACCATTAAAGGGAAACAGAAGGGAAAAATCCAAAGAAACGTATTGCTTGCATTAAGACTGCACAAACACACTGCATTTGGGCGCTCAGAGTAGCTGTATGAAATATCATCCAAAATTTTAGAAAAGGGGATAAAAGCAATCACAGTTAAAAAGCAAAGAAGGAAGAAAAATACAATAAATCAGCACACCCCTCAAAAGCTGGATTTCATTTCTCTGAGCATGAAAAAGAGGAGACATCAAGCTGGACCAAACTAAAGCAAATCCATAATTAGGCCAAAAAAAGACTGAGGAGCAGCCTGACAACTATGTCAAAGCTCTGCAAACACAGCACAATCAGGAAGCCTGCCAGAAAGGCTGCAAGGCCAAAAGATGATCACCATGGAAGGAGAATAAATGAGACGGAGAACTAAATGAACTCTTGCATCAGCATTCACTATGTGGTTTTTATGGGAGTTTCCATCTCGAAGGAATCTCTTCATACGGCAAATAAAGTTTTATCATGGAAGATTTTAATCAAGTTTATTGCAATTAATACGTTCTACGGTGTGTCAGGACCAGAAGGGATTCGTTCAAGAGTTTGAAAGAACAGAACAACAGAAAACCCACGC